CCGGGTTCAAATCCCGGACGAGCCCAGCTTTGATTATGGTTCAACACCTATTTTTTCCATGTGTTTTGCATCTGTAGTTTTGTTTCCATTTGGCACACCAAATAAAACCCACATTCCATAGGTTGTTGGTCTAGGGGTATGATTCTCGCTTAGGGTGCGAGAGGTCCCGGGTTCAAATCCCGGACAAGCCCAGCTTTCATTATAGTTCAACACCTAAATTTTCCACCCTTTTGCATCTGTAGTTTTGTTTCCACTTTGGCACACCAAAAAAACCCATGTTCCATGGCTCGTTGGTCTAGGGGTATGATTCTCGCTTTGGGTGCGAGAGGTCCCGGGTTCAAATCCCGGACGAGCCCAGCTTTAATTTTGGTTCAACACCTATATTTTCCATGTGTTTTGCATCTGTAGTTTTGTTTCCATTTGGCACACCAAATAAAACCCACATTCCATGGCTCGTTGGTCTAGGGGTATGATTCTCGCTTTGGGTGCGAGAGGTCCCGGGTTCAAATCCTGGAGCCCAGCTTTAATTATGGTTCAACAACTAAATTTTCCAACCTTGTTGCATCTGTAGTTTTGTTTCCACTTTGCACACCAAATAAAACCCAGGTTCCATGGCTCGTTGGTCTAGGGGTATGATTCTCGCTTTGGGTGCGAGAGGTCTGGGTTCAAATCCCGGACGAGCCCAGCTTTCTTATGGTTCAACACCTAAATTTTCCACCCTTGTTGCATCTGTAGTTTTGTTTCCACTTTGCACACCAAATAAAACCCAGGTTCCATGGCTCGTTGGTCTAGGGGTATGATTCTGCTTCGGGTGCGAGAGGTCCCGGGTTCTCCCGGACGAGCCCAGCTTTGGGTGCTGGTGGTCAACACCGGGTTCAAAAATCGGATGAGCCCAGCTTTCCTATGGTTAAATTTTCCACCCTGTTACATCTGTAGTTTTGTTTCCACTTTGCACACCAAATAAAACCCAACACCATGGCGAGTTAGGGGTATGATTCTCGCTTTGGGTGCGAGAGGTCCTGGGTTCAAATCCCGGAAAGCCCAGCTTTCATAATGGTTCAACAAACATTTTCCACCCTTGTTGCATCTGTAGTTTTGTTTCCACTTTGCACACCAAATAAAACCAGTTTCCATGGCTCGTTGGTCTAGGGGTATGATTCTCGCTTAGGGTGCGAGAGGTCCCGGGTTCAAATCCCGGACGAGCCCAGCTTTAATTATGATTCAACAACTAAATTTTCCACTGTTTTGCATCTGTAGTTTTGTTTCCACTTTGCACACCAAAGAAAACCCACATTACATGGCTCGTTGGTCTGGGGTATGATTCTCGCTTTGGGTGCGAGAGGTCCTGGGTTCAAATCCTGGACGAGCCCAGCTTTCATTATGGTTCAACACCTAAATTTTCCACCTTGTTGCATCTGTAGTTTTGTTTCACTTTGCACACCAAATAAAACCCACATTCCATGGCTCGTTGGTCTAGGGGTATGATTCTCGCTTATGGGTGCGAGAGGTCCCGGGTTCAAATCCTGGACGAGCCCAGCTTTCATTATGGTTCAACACCTAAATTTTCCACCCTTGTTGCATCTGTAGTTTTTTTGCACTTTGCACACCAAATAAAACCAATTCCAATGGCTCGTTGGTCTAGGGGTATGATTCTCGCTTAGGGTGCGAGAGGTCCCGGGTTCAAATCCAGGACGAGCCCAGCTTTAATTATGGTTCAACACCTAAATTTTCCACCCTTGTTGCATCTGTAGTTTTGTTTCCACTTTGGCACACCAAATAAAACCCACATTCCATGGCTCGTTGGTCTAGGGGTATGATTCTTGCTTTAGGGTGCGAGAGGTCCCGGGTTCAAATCCCGGACGAGCCCAGCTTTCATTATGGTTCAACACCTAAATTTTCCACCCTTGTTGCATCTGTAGTTTTGTTTCCACATTGCACACCAAAATAAAACCCAGGTTCCATGGCTCGTTGGTCTAGGGGTATGATTCTTGCTTGGGTGCGAGAGGTCCGGGTTCAAATCCCGGATGAGCCCAGCTTTCATTATGGTTCAACAACTAAATTTTCCAGCCTTGTTGCATCTGTAGTTTTGTTTACACTTTGGACACCAAATAAAACCAAGGTTCAAGGCTCGTTGGTCTAGGGGTATGATTCTTGCTTGGGTGTGAGAGGTCCCGGGTTCAAATCCTGGATGAGCCCAGCTTTAATTATGGTTCAACACCTATATTTTCCATTGTTGCATCTGTAGTTTTGTTTCCACTTTGCACACCAAATAAAACCCACATTCCATGGCTCGTTGGTCTAGGGGTATGATTCTCGCTTTGGGTGCGAGAGGTCCCGGGTTCAAATCCCGGATGAGCCCAATTCATGGTTCAACACCAATATTTTCCACCCATGTTGCTCTGTAGTTTTGTTTCCACTTTGCACACCAAATAAAACCCAGGTTCCATGGCTCGTTGGTCTAGGGGTATGATTCTCGCTTAGGGTGCGAGAGGTCCCGGGTTCAAATCCCGGACGAGCCCAGCTTTCATTATGGTTCAACAACTAAATTTTCCACTCTTGTTGCATTTGTAGTTTTCTTTCCACTTTGCACACCAAATAAAAACCCCATCCCATGGCTCGTTGGTCTAGGGGTATGATTCTCGCTTTGGGTGCAAGAGGTCCCGGGTTCAAATCCTGGACGAAGCCCAGCTTTAATTATGGTTCAACACCTATATTTTCCATGTGTTTTGCATCTGTAGTTTTGTTTCCACTTTGCACACCAAATAAAACCCATACCATGGCTCGTTGGTCTAGGGTATGATTCTCGCTTAGGGTGCGAGAGGTCCATGGTTCAAATCCTGGAAGAGCCCAGCTTTAATCATGGTTTAACACCTACATTTTCCACTCTTGCTGCATCTGTAATTTTGTTTCCACTTTGGACACCAAATGAAACCAATGTTCAATGGCTCGTTGGTCTAGGGGTATGATTCTCGCTTTGGGTGCGAGAGGTCCCTTTCCACTTTGCACAACAAATAAAAACCCATACACCTAGGCTCGTTGGTCTAGGGGTTTGATTCTCGCTTTGAGTGCGAGAGGTCCCGGGTTCAAATCCTAGACGAGCCCAGCTTTAATTATGGTTCAACACCTAAATTTTCCAACCTTGTTGGATCTGTAGTTTTTTGCACTTTGCACAGCAAATAAAACCAATACAACATGGCTCGTTGGTCTAGGGGTACGATTCTCGCTTACAGTTCGAGAGGTCGCGGGTTCAAATCCAGGACGAGCCCAGCTTTAATTATGGTTCAACACCTAAATTTTTCACCCTTGTTGCATCTGTAGATTTGTTTCCACATTGCACACCAAAATAATTCCTATGTTCCATGGCTTGTTGGTCTAGGGGTATGATTTTCGCTTAGGGTGCGAGAGGTCCCGGGTTTAATTCCCGGACGAGCCCAGCTTGCATTATGGTTCAACAACTAAATTTTCCACTCTTTTTGCATCTGTAGTTTTGTTTCCACTTTGGCACATCAAATAAAACCCATACACCATGGCTCGTTGGTCTAGGGATATGATTCTCGCTTTGAGTCCGAGAGGTCCCGGGTTCAAGTCCCGGGCTCAAATCCCAGGCGAGCCCATCTTTAAATATGGTTTAACACCTCAATTTTCCACTCTTTTTGCATCTGTAGTTTTCTTTCCACTTGCACACAACTAAAACTCATACACCATGGCTCGTTGGTCTAGGTGTATGATTCTTGCTTAGGGTGCGAGAGGTCCTGGGTTCAAATCCCGGATGAGCCCAGCTTTCCTCATGGTTCAACAAATACATTTTCCACCCTTGTTGCATCTGTAGTTTTGTTTCCACTTTGCACACCAAATAAAACCCAGGTTCCATGGCTCGTTGGTCTAGGGGTATGATTCTCGCTTTGGGTGCGAGAGGTCCCGGGTTCGAATCCCGGATGAGCCCTGCTTTCCTCATGGTTCTACAAATACATTTTCCACCCTTGTTGCATCTGTAGTTTTGTTTCCACTTTGCACACCAAATAAAAACCAGGTTCCATGGCTCGTTGGTCTAGGGGTATGATTCTCGCTTTTGGTGCGAGAGGTCCCGGGTTCAAATCCCGGATGAGCCCAGCTTTCCTCATGGTTCAACAAATACATTTTCCACCCTTGTTGCATCTGTAGTTTTGTTTCCACTTTGCACACCAAATAAAGCCCAGGTTCCATGGCTCGTTGGTCTAGGGGTATAATTCTAGCTTAGAGTGCGAGAGGTCCCGGGTTCAAATCCCGGATGAGCCCAGCTTTCCTCATGGTTCAACTAATTCATTTTCCACCCTTGTTGCATCTGTAGTTTTGTTTCCACTTTGCACACCAAATAAAACCCAGGTACCATGGCTCGTTGGTCTAGGGGTATGATTCTCGCTTTGGGTGCGAGAGGTCCCGGGTTCAAGTCCCGAGCTCAAATCCGGGGTGAGCCCATCTTTAAATATGGTTCAACACCTCAATTTTCCACTCTTGTTGCATCTGTAGTTTTCTTTCCACTTTGCACAACAAATAAAAATCCATACGCCTAGGCTCGTTGGTCTAGGGGTATGATTCTCGCTTTGGGTGCAAGAGCTCCCGGGTTCAAATCCTGGACGAGCCCAGCTTTAATTATGGTTTAACACCTAAATTTTCCACCCTTGTTGCATCATTAGTTTTTTTGCACTTTGCACAGCAAATAAAACCAATACAACAAGGCTCGTTGGTCTAGGGGTACGATTCTCGCTTACAGTTCGAGAGGTCCTGGGTTCAAATCCAGGACAAGCCCAGCTTTAATTATGGTTCAACACCTAAATTTTTCACCCTTGTTGCATCTGTAGTTTTGTTTCCACATTGCACACCAAAAGAATTCCTATGTTCCATGGCTTGTTGGTCTAGGGGTATGATTCTCGCTTAGGGTGCGAGAGGTCCCGAGTTTAATTCCCGGACGAGCCCAGCTTGCATTATGGTTCAACAACTAAATTTTCCAACCTTGTTGCATCTGTAGTTTTGTTTCCACTTTGAACACCAAATAAAACCAAGATTCCAAGGCTCGTTGGTCTATGGGTATGATTCTCGCTTAGGGTGTGAGAGGTCCCGGGTTTAATTCCCGGACGAGCCCAGCTTGCATTATGGTTCAACAACTAAATTTTCCAACCTTGTTGCATCTGTAGTTTTGTTTCCACATTGCACACCAAAAGAAAATCCATGTTCCATGGCTCGTTGGTCTCGGGGTATGATTCTTGCTTTGGGTGCCAGAGGTCCCGGGTTCAAATCCCGGTCGAGCCCAGCTTTCACTATGGTTCAACAACTAAATGTTCCAACCTTGTTGCATCTGTAGTTTTGTTTCCACATTGCACACCAAAAGGAAACCAACATTCCATGGCTTGTTGGACTAGGGGTATGATTCTTGCTTTGAATGCGAGAGGTCCCATGTTCAAATCCTGGAAGAACCCAGTTTTAACTATGGTTTAACACCTAAATTTTCCACTCTTTTTGCATCTGTAGTTTTCTTTCCACTTTGCACACCAAATAAAGCCAAAGTTCCATGGCTCGTTGGTCTAGTGGTATGATTCTTGCTTTGGGTGTGAGAGGTCCCGGGTTCAAATCTTGGACGATCCCAGCTTTAATTATGGTTCAACACCTAAATTTTCCACTCTTTGTTGCAGCTGTAGTTTTCTTTCCACTTTGCACACCAAATAAAACCAAAGTTCCATGGCTCGTTGGTCTAGGGGTATGATTCTCGCTTTGGGTGTGAGAGGTCCTGGGTTCAAATCCTGGACAAGCCCAGCTTTCATTAAGGTTCAACAACTAAATTTTCCAACCTTGTTGCATCTGTAGTTTTGTTTCCACATTGCACACCAAAAGGAAACCAACATTCCATGGCTTGTTGGACTAGGGGTATGATTCTCGCTTTGAATGCGAGAGGTCCCAGGTTCAAATCCTGGAAGAACCCAGCTTTAACTATGGTTTAACACCTAAATTTTCCACTCTTTTTGCATCTGTAGTTTTCTTTCCACTTTGCACACCAAATAAAACCCAGGTT